TTTGAGATTTGAAACTCGGTAGACAAGAAAACACACGTACAAGGAAGTCCAGTGCTGGTGTGATGAGGACTTTTTAATGTTTTACTCTGAAAAACCATCTGTAATCTGTTAAAGCAGTTTTGCACAATTTCTGCTCCTTTCACATGGGGTTTTAGGCTGAGGATGTAGCTCAGTAGTAGAGTACTTGCCTGGCACATTCAAGGCCCTTGGTTTGGGCCCCAATATGCGCCTCCCCCAAAAGGTCGTATTGATTTTTAAAATATTATAATGCTGTATTTAACTACATCAATGTATGTTTCTCTGGTTCATGAGTTTATCTTTGACTTTTGATATAAGTAGTAACACACTAGGCAGATATGCCGCATGTGGTGGCATGTACCTGTAATCCCAGCACGTGGGAGGCTCAGGCAGAGGGTCATTGTGACTTCATGGCCAGTCCGACCTATGCGGTGAGGCTGTTGCAAGAAAACAAAACAAAATAATAATAATAATAATAATAATAATAATAATAAGGAATGTAGCATCATTATAAGGAAGACATTAAAGCAGCATAATATTATTTACTGCTGGGTGTGTTGGCATATCCCTGAATGAGGCAGGAGGATCACTCGTTCGAGATTAGCCTGGGCAATGTAATGAGCCACTGTCTCAAAATACAAAATAAAGGGTCCGGGCCCTGGCGCATAGCATAGCTAGGTTACTTGCCCTCGTGCAAGTGAGGTCCTACAGGTGCAATCCCCAGTGCTGAAAAAAAAATGACCATGCTGGGAAAATACCCACAGTGACTCCCTGTCTGTGCTCCCCAAACAAGGAAATGACCTTTCAGGTGAATGATCGGCCTCCCTGTGGTGTTAGATAGGTAGATCAAAGGTAGACTTAGGCTTCAGGAAGACGGAAAACTTCCTGTGGAAGTGAGGGAAGGTGAGAGCTAAGCATTGGTAGCTATCAGCCACGTCCATATGACTCTGACACTCCTGCTGTTTACTTGTTTGGGAGCACGTTTGTTGTTGTTTGTTTCATTTGATTGTTTATATTGTTTGTATTTGGTTTACTGTAATATTTTACCTGCAGAGAGACTAATACCCTTGGAAGAAAAACAATTTCAAGTTAGATTATTAGGTTTCTTTAAAGAATCCATCATGACATACCATTTATTAGTTTATAATTTGCCTCTAAACCTTGTTATAATTGTGCCTACTTGCAAAAAGAGAGATTTGAGATTTTTACACATAAAAATACTGTAAAATTTAAATATTTAATTTTACTAATCAGAACCAAAGGAATACCTTTTTTTTTTTTTTTTTTTTTTTTGAGACATTCAGGCTGGCCCTAAGCTTAATTTGTAGCCCAGGCTGGTCTTGAACTCCCAACGATCCTCCTGCCTCAGCCTCCCGAGTGCTGGGATTACAGGCATGAGCCACCACACCTGGCTAGGAATACCTTTTTAAAACTGACACTGAAATGTGTTTCTACTTCATATAGAGATAATAATATAAGATGTAAATTGTTTACTTAGTAAGATACCAGTTCTAGGAAGATAGGATAAGACAGTAATGTTAGTTGTTTTTGTTTTTTGTGTTTTTTTTTGAGACAGAGTCTCTCTCTGTAGTGCAGGTTAGCGTTGAACTCCCTTATGTAGCCCAGGCTGGCCTTGAACTCACGGAAATCCTCCTGTCTCAGCCTCCCTAGTGCTGGGATTACAGGCATGTGTCACCATGCCTGGCTAGTAATGTTAGCGTTTGTTTTGTTTTATGTTTGCTGTTTGATAGTAGTTTTAAAACAGGTTATTTTAAGAGCAATACTTTATAAAAATTATAATGCATATGTTTTAATTCTGGAACAAGAATTACTTATTGTCAGTAATTTATTTCTAGGCACACTTTGCTGAGGTCTCATGGAAGGGCACACATTCAGTAGTAGTATGACCTCTGGATTAGGAGTCCAGAAGCCTAGGTTTTGATTGTTTGTTTGTTTTTGTCTTTTTGAGACAGGGTCTTGCTATGCAGTTCAGGCTGGCCTTGAGCTCATTTTGTAGCCCAGGCTGGTCTTGAACTCACAGTGATCCTCCTGCCTCAGCCTCCCGAGTGCTGGGATTACAAGCATGTACCACCATGCCTGGCCAGAAGCCTAGGTTTTAATTCCAGCTCCAGCCTATTCTTTTACTTTGGGCCAAGCATTTTAAAAATGAACTTTTAAATATTTGCTATATAATGTGCCTTCCAATTTGCATCAGCAATGAGACTGCAATGGAAATGTATCTATGATCCACACTAGTGATTTTTCATTAGCTTTTATTTAGTAAACTCAATATTTGTTCATCAAATATTCACTTAGTAAGAAGTACTTTCTGGAACAGTTTCTGTAGTCATTGTGTCTATTTAAAAAAATCTTGTGCAAAATGAGTTTATCTTCTACTATTTGTAAAGAAACAGTATTCTCAAAGCTTCAAAATTTGATTTTGAGTTCATGTGAAAAGATATATGAGAAACATATCTGAATAAAAATGATGTTCTCAATATTTATTGGTGTTCCTAAAATTTTAAATTTCTTGGTTATGTTCTCTCCCTATTCAAATCTATTTGTGAGAAGTGATAATGATGCCATCTTTTACCCAAGATGAAGCCATAATAAACATCATACAGGAATTTGTTGGGGTTCAAAAAATCAGGTGATTAGGAGGGAAAGAATACTAGTGAGTCTGTTAGTCAGCTTTCCTTTGCTGTGACAAAATACCTGAGTCAGCTTACAAAGAAGAAAGGTTCATTTTGGATCATGGTTTCAGAGGTTCAAGTTCATGGTCATTTGGCTGCGTTGTTTGGGTCTGTGGAGGGGCGAAACGTTAAGATGGAGAAGGCATGGCCAAGCGTAGGTGCTTATCTCATGGTAACTGGGAGCAAAGACAGAGGTGGGGGAGACACTTAGGTCCTAGCATCCCCTTCAAGGGCATGACCCTAACAACCTAGCATTCTGCCTCCTAAGGTGTCCGACCTCTCAGTACCACATGATAGTGACCTAGCCTTTGCTACCTGACCTTTAAGGAACATTTCAGATCCAGATCATAGCAGTGAGAAAGCAGTTTTGAGGCCAGAACAACTTTGCTTCCATGATGTTCCATTTACAATAATAACTCAAGAAGCTTAAGAGGCTTCCATACTTTGGCTATATTCTGGTATTGCTGACTTTATCTTCCATTTCCTCTTCCCCCATGTTATGGTTTATATCTAGATGTACCCCTAAAATGTCATGCATTCGTAGGTGGGGCTTTGGGGAGGGCGTGGATCATGGGTGTGTGACACTGAATTAGACTTCTGATGGGTTTAAGGCTGGTGTGATGTTGGGAGGTGAAGGCTGGTGGAAAGAGGTGGGTCAGAAGTGGGTGTGGCCTGAAAAGATGTAGGTCTCTCCTCCTCCCTTGATCCCTGTCTGCTTCCTGCCTGCCCTGCCATGGACTTTCTCTTCTGCCAAGCCCCTCTGCCATGCTGCCATATCATGGAACCAGACAGCGATGGACTGAAACCTCTACAAACTGTGAGCCAAAATAAAGCTCTGCTCTTTTAACTTGTGGGTGTCCGATATTCTATCCCAGCAGTGAGAAAGTAAGACACCCCACCTCCTGACTTGTGCATTAAGAAGAATGATCAATTGCAAGGTAGCAACTTGTTGAATCTAAGTTACATTGCTACCCTGGTGTGTTTGGCTTTGCTGTAATTTAGATGTACATTGAGTGTGTTTCCCAAAGGCTCATAGGTTGGACCCTTTGAAGAGGTAGGCCAGGTGGAAGTTAACTAGCTCCCAGGGGAATTTATGCCGTTGTCTTAGGGTCAGTGCTCTGGAGATTGTTTGGTATAAGAGAGGGATCCTGACCCCCGAGTCTCCCTGGCTTCCAGTCCTGCCAGGTGTTCTCTACCACACCTGTTTGTCCCACTGTGATACGACTTGCCCTGCGGCCCCTCTGGAGGCCAAGTAGACGGGGCTGCCTCCAAAACTGTGACCAAAATAAACCCCCTTTCTTTATAAGTACACATCCAAAGAGATATAATAGCAACAGAAAACAGACTAACACAAGCAGTTGGACCCAGACTTCCGCAGTTGGAGACTCTCTGTCATAGGTGTTTTGCTTGCTCTCTTCACTTAGGTTTAATCTTGATATTCTGAGGTACAAAGTGTGCTAGATTGAGAGTTAATAAGCCTGGATTTTAATTTGAGTTTTCGGGCTGTGATCAGTGAGACCCTTTCATTCATTCAGTTTATTTATCTTGCCCGTTTGTTAAAACCGACCTGCCAGGCTCTGTTCTGGGTGCTGGGAACGCACTGCACCACCCACAGTGCCAGTGTGATAGAGGCCGTGAGACGGACATAAGCACATAGAGAAGTAACTGCACAGGGCAGTTCTGACAGCAGAATAGTCATGTGAACAGTGACGAGGGGGAGGGGAGACAGGACCTCTGGGATTTCTCTGGGTAACAGGAAAACCAAGGGTTGACCAACCCGATGTTAGGGACCCCCGCAGACTGAAAGACAAGATTCCCTCTTTTCACTACTAACTGTGCTGTAGGAAGGCCCGCCAATGCCTGTGTTCTAGAAACAAATGCAAGTATGTTTGCATCAAGTGCGGTGTCCATGTCATGCTGCCTGGGAAATAATCCACACGGGCAGAAGCCGGAGCTAAGCATTTCCGTGTACTTTTGAGAGTAGCTGCTAGACCTTAAAGGAGAAAACAAAACCAAAGCGTCATTTTAAATACAGCACCGCGAGGGCTGGGGATGCGGCTCACCGGTAGAGCGCTTGCCTTGCGACACACACACACACACACACACACACACACACACAGATAGCGCAGATGACCATGGCTTGGCAGATCCGCAGGTGACAACCATGCGCGGCTAGCAAGCGTCCCCTGGGCTCCAGGTGCCCGGCGAGCTGGAGGGGCGGGCGGGGACTCGCCGAGTCCAGGCCCGGAGGAGGCCGGGGCGGGGCGGCTGCGCGGCCACCTCGGCGGGGCAGGGCTGCAGGATCTCCGCGGGGCAGGGCTGCAGGATTTCCGCAGGGCAGAGTCGGAGTCCCGGAAGAGCCGCCGCGTGATCGCCCTGGCAGGCGCAGGAGGAGGATCCGGGGCGCGATGGCTGCGGAGGGCCCTGCCACGCTTCCGGTCCAGGTGGCAGAACATCCCAGGTGGGGGACAGCAGGTGGCACGCGTGGGGACCTCCCGGAGGGCCCGCGGCTTGGGGTGCTTCCCGGGGGCGCCGCTTTTGTCCCAGGGGAGCGGGCAGATCTTGAGTCTTCAGGTGCGAGGCTGGGACGCTATCAGTCCCTGGGGTCTGTACTGCTTCGGCCTGCAGTTCTGTGCCTTTCGTCCTAAAGGCGGTGCGTTCTTTCCACCCGGTTTTAGGAAACACCCCTAAATCAACCCGGAATGCCTCCTTGTTTTGGTGCAGCTGACACTGCTTTTGAAAGTCTCCTAAGTACTTATAGGCAGGAAACATTAAAAACTTCTTGGGCTTCTGTGTCTTAAAAAAAAAAAAATCCTGGAATCTCTAAGCTGTCACTCAGGGAGTTAGTTTGCTGCTGATATCCAGCTGCGGAATAACTGATAATTCAGTGATGGTTAGTGGAGGAGTTTTAAAAATTACAACCACTCTAAAAATTCTTTGTGCTGATTTATGGTGCTGAAGTCTCACTGAAGGTGGCCTTTCACTTGCCACTAGCCAGGGCTTTCTGAGCTTGGCCGCTCTCCCCTTTCCGTGTTGTCAAATTTTTTCTTTTCTTTTTCCCCCTTTTTCTGTGGGGTCTGTGCTCTTTCTATTTCCTGGTTTACTACAGCTATGATCAGCTGACAGTAATATACTTCAACTTGAAAGCCTTCTGTCAGGCCTAAGCCAACAAACAGTATACCGTTAGTTACTAGAGAGAAACATAGTTTCTTATTCTAGAGACCGGCATAGTGTTAGACTCCTTCAGAACATCTTTGAAAGTTTCTACATTCTCAAATGGAACTTGCATAGTGCTATTGCCCTCATACTGTACTGGGCAAAGAACTCTTGCTCGCTACTCAAATGCAGATGCTAGTCAGCCCCAGCACACATTTCAGTAAGATAATTCTTTTTACTCTCTTTATATGAAAATCAAGCAGGAATAGAAGTGCAAATATTTTCTTTTTGCATCCCACTCATGCTTGTTCCGAAGCCATAGGACTTACAATTCCACTGTGACCACTTTCTTGGCTGTCCTTGTGGGGATATCTCTTTCTTTTCTTTGGAATTAAGCTTTGCATTTTTGGGTTATGTTTCATAATTTATTGATTTTCACATACTATATAACTCACCCATTTACAGTGTGCAATGAGGTGATGGTTAGTATTTTCAGAGCTCTGCATCCATCACCACAATCAAATTTGGAACATTGCCTTCACCCTGAAAGAAACACGCATTCTCTACTCACCCCTGAGCAGCTACTAATGTACTTTCTGTCTCTCTAGAGTTGGTTGTGCTGGACATTTTGAATAAATGCCGTTAAAAAAAAAACAACTTCAGTCAAAAGAGCACTCAGAGCTCCAGACTTAGCAGTTTGTGCTGTGATTCTGGGGCCAGTTTCCCCTCTGAAAGGTGTGACCTTCACAGGGACTCACCGACTCACTCTGAACCGCTCCTTGGCCTCCTTGTCACCGCTAGAGGAACTGCGTCGAGGCAGAATCTTGTGGGTGGCCAGCCCAGAGGGACAAGGGCAGCTGCTTGGCCAATTACGCCCTCAGTATTTAATTGTCAGAGGATTAGGTATGAAGTTCAGAAAAAACACTGTGCCCTTCAATGCTTTCTAAGAGGAAAATCCTCTCCCTGTCCCCTTTGACAGCTCTGTACATTTGAGTTTCAAAGGTAGGCCTGTTGTTCATGTGGAGTGGTTGTAACAAGGTGTGAACTGGAAACTTTCCCAAGGTAGCCTGGGAAATGGCACAAAATTTGGTGACTTAAAATCATTTCACTAAATCACATTTCAAGAGACTCACTCTGATTGTGATGTTGGCATTTCACTATAAAAGGTAAATTAGTAAAGATTCAAGAGAATTTGAATGTAATCAATACAGTGTGTGGTTTTCACAGGTAGACCCAGCCCCGTCTGGAAGTTAGGAGAATTGGCTCAGCCAGAAAACTGGGATTTACCATAGCCATATCCCTCTTTCTCACATCTGATTGGTCATCAATCCCTGTGGCTTCCATGTTTACCTGTCACCTTCATTTAATCTCACTCATCTCTGTCTCTGCCACTAATGCAGATTCAGTGTTGTTTGGGGTTTACTGCCTGTTAGATTTCCTGTTTCTTAACCCAAAGGCCCATTAACAGAGGAATGGATAAAAAAAGATGTCTTTTTATACAATGGAATACTACTCAGCCGAAAAGAAGGATAAACTTGAGACTTATAGGTAAATAGATGCAATTTGAGACCATACTCATAAGTGAAATAAACCAGATCCACGTGTGTAAACATTGCATTGTCTCCCTGATGTGAGAAACTGGGAGAGTAAATAAGTCCTAAAATGTACAATAGATATTGTGAAATGGGAAGAAATTGTTCAAGAGGAAGAAGGAACTAGGATGGGGGAAAGGGGAAAAGACAGTAGGGAAAAGGGAAAAAATGCAAAGTCAGTTATACTTTAGTGTCTCTTAGTTCACTGAAAATGAAGGTTTTTGCTAATGTCAATTGGAAAAAATTTTATGCCCATATCTTGTACCCTGAGCATTTACTTTAAAGATAACATGTAATGTGTTAACTATTGTTATTCTCTTATTATCTTGTTATGAATTTTTATTTTACCTTTTTTCTATAAAAAAAAAAAGATTTCCTGTTTCTACAACCCATCTTGTGTACTCTTCCCTGTGAGGTTTTGTTTTGTTTGTTTTTGTTTTGTTTTTTGTCTTTTTGAGACAGGGTCTCACTATGCAGTTCAGGCTGGCTTTGGACTCACTTTATAGCCCAGGCTGGTCTCGAACTCACAACGATCCTCCTGCCTCAACCTCCTGCATGCTGGGAATACAGGTGTTCACCACCACGCCTGGCAAGAAATGCACTATTGACATTTCCCTCTCTCAGGAGTGTCACAGACTCAGTCTGCTGGGACTTCACCAGGCAGTCCAGTCCCAAGGGACTGCTGTTGTGTATCAGTCTGTTGTTGACTAGAAACCTGGTCATGTGGTGCAGGACTGTACGTGTCCAGTGTCAGGACCCAATTCAGCATTACGCTGCATTTAATCGTTTCCTGGATCCATTTTCTAATTGTGGAAGGCTTCTTTCTTTCTGTGCTTCATGGCCAGTTATTTTATAGACTATCTCACAGTTTGGGTTGGAGGGAAAAGTTGTGAAAAATTTGGTTATCCTGGTTATTTCTAAAGAAAAGCAGAGCTTGCCTCGGGTACCTTTGCGGGTTTTCTGATTTCTGCATTGGCTTTGAGACTCTTACTGTGCTCTTGCTGTTCTACACTTCCGGTCATAGAAGACTGTTAGCAGTGTGAACGACTCTTGTCCATACAACGTTCTGGCAGAAGGCAAAGTTATTGTTACTTCCTGGGTGATAACCAGTTTTCTAGTTTTTTTTTTTGGCTTTTTGAGACAGGGTCTCTCTATGCAGTTCAGGCTGGCTTTGAGCTCACTTTGTAGTAGTTTTCTAGTTTTTAGTATCTGTTTTTCTTTTCTTTCTTTTTCTTTTTCTTTTTTCTTTTTTTGTTTTTTTTTGAGACAGGGTCTTACTATTCATTCCGTCTGGTTTGAACTCACTATGTAGCCCAGGCTGTTTTCAAACGTGCAGCAATCCTCCTGTCTCAGCCTCCCATATTTTGGAATTATAGGCATGTACCACTATGCCTGGCATTTATTTATTTATTTTTGGTATATCCTTTTTATTTCTTTCTCTGATCACTCTGACTGATGTTTTAATAACTATATTGAACAGGAGCAGTGATAGTAGAAATCCCTGTCCTGTTCTGACTTTGGAAGGAAAGCTTTCAGCTTCTCTCCATTTAATATGATGTTGGCCATTGCTTTGTCATAAATAACTTCTGTCAGATGGAGATAAGGTCCTTCTATAACCTTTTTCCTTTTTTCTTTTTTTGAAACAGGGTCTCTATGCATTTAGGCTAGTCTTGAACTCACTTTGTAGCCCGGGCTGGCCTCGAACTCGAAACGATCCTCCTGCCTCAGCCTCCTGAGTGCTGGGATTACACGTGTGGGCCACCATGCCTGGTTTATAACTTTTTTCTTCAAAGTTTTTAGTCATGAATGGATGTTGCATTTTGTTCAAGGCTTTTTCTGCATCAACTGAGATGACCATGCGGTTTCTGTCCTTGCTTCTGTTTATGTGGTGAGTTACACTTATCCATTTGTGCATGTTGCAGCATCCTTGTATCCCTGGGATGCAGCCCACTTGGTCACGATGTATGATTTTTTTGATAATTTGTTGCATTCTGTTTGTCAGTATTGTGTTGAAGATTTTTGCATCTATGTTCATTAAAGAGAATGGCTTGTGGTTCTTTTTTTTGGTCGGATCCTAGCCTGGTTTTAGAATCAGGGAAAGGCTTGCTTCCAGGAATGAGTATTTATTTTTTCCCTTTCAGTTTCATTACAGAATTTGAGGGGTAATTGGCATTAGGTTTTCCCTAAAGTTCTTATCCAATTTGGCAGTGAATCCATTGGGACCTAGGTTTTTCTTATTTGGTAGTTTTAAAAAATTTTTGCTTTTTCAATTTCATTGCCTGCTATTGTATTATTCAGGGTTTTTATACCTTCTTGATTCAACTTGGTAGTTCACATGTATCTAGAAGTCTCTCCATTTCTTCTGGATTCTCCATTTTATCAGAGTTCAGGTTCTTAAAGTTGTTACTAATGATCTTACGGATTTTGGCAGAGTCCGTTGTGATTTAACCATTTACATATCTAATGGCATTTATTATTTTTTCTAATTGCATTTATTTGGGTCTTTCCTTTTTTTTTGGTATGATTGGCTAGGGGTTTGTCTCTTTTGTTTATTCTTTCAAAAAACTAGCTCAGTTTATTTATCCTTTGCATTTTTTTTTTTAGTCTGCAATTCATTAATTTCTGCTTTTATGTTTATAATTTCTTTCCTTGTGCAAATTCTGTGTTTATATTATTTTTTATTTTTTTGAGACAAAGTCTCACTATCTAGTGT